TAGCCACCGCCTCCGCCGCCGTACGATCGCCCTCCGCCGCCCCTGCTGCCTCCATCGTACCCGCCACCTCTCCCTCCGTAAGATCCGCCGCCCCTGCCTCCCTTAACAGCTGCGCCGCCTGGACCGGTCACGTTCGCCGCCTTGTCTCTGCCGTCGTTGCCCTGCTCGACGACGAATTCGACCGCCTCCCCCTCGGCGAGGCTTCGGAAACCCTCGGATTTGACCGCCGATTGATGGACGAACAGATCCTCGCCGCCATCGTCAGGGGTTATGAACCCGAAGCCCTTCTGTTCACTGAACCACTTCACTGTCCCCTTCCTCACATCACCGTCGGCCATTGTCACCCTTTAGCTCTCTGTGTGTTTGTTACGCTTTATGGGATTGTACCATGGGCTGTATTGTATATATACTACTCACTCCCAGTTGACGCGTCAGCGGATTTGAAGTTTTATTCACTGATAGCTAATTGTTGAGTGTGGGGTCCGAAATCAAACGGACGGTTGATGTTTCTCAAGGAGTTGTGGCCTTCATCCAACCGTTCGATTTAGGGCTGAGGTGGGCTGGCGAGGGATTTACCACAACCGGATAATGGAAAAGAAAGTTAAATAATATTTTCCAATTTTTGGGTAACAACATTTGCTTTGGCCTAAATTTTACTTATAAATTATACTCATTTCTACTATATTTTCCTAGGTATTTCCTAATATCTTTTAAGATTGATTTGCAATTTATGATTGCTTAAGAATAATTATTCCAATAAATTATTAAAATATTTAAAGATGAACATCCTGTAATAAAGTGGCAAATGACATTCACATAATACAAGATGTTTAAATCAAGTGTAATTTTTGAATTATGATGTTTGTAATGGTATGATTGGATTAGGAAATATAGAATATTTTAAATAATGATATGGACTGGAATCACGAATTGAATTTGGAAATCACCATAATGGTTCTTTTGGATGCATTTAGATGAAGGAATATGAGTCTATTATCAATATCTATATCTATATCTATAGTAATATAAAGAGGTTGATGGAAAAATACAAAAATAGTAACTTTGACTTTAAAAATAAAGTGTTGACTTACTATTAGTAGAAATTTTGAAAAAAGCACATGTGAATCTTTAGAAATCAAATTTAAGAGAGATATCCCAAAAAATGTGGAGATTCTTAAGGTAACAAATTTAGAGATTATTAAGGTAACAAATTTGGAGATTCTTATGCCAAAATTTAATTCATTTAAAAAATACGAATCTCATTTTTATTGGTAACAAATTTGGAGATTCTTATGCCAAAAATTGAAATTTTGAATTGAGATATCACAACAATTACGAAAAAATTTTTCCATTCAAATTAATGTATCAAATCAAACAAAAAATTGTTCCGAGAATAATGGATGTTGTATTAAATATTGATAAACTCCAATCCTCTATAAATTATTTATATTTATGAATTTTGTGTGTAAATATATTGATTTTTTTTCCTAGATATACTAAACTAGTATGTACCCGTGCGATGCACGGTGGGTGTATAACTTAAAACATATTGAAGTACTTATATTAAATGGAATTAATTGAATTGAACATATAATTATGGAAACAAAAATAAAAATAAAAAAGAAATCATATATTATTAAAACTTCTCTGTACACAACATTATTTGTTTGATTTGTGGGCAAATCATGTTCACCACATATTAGAATTTTCAAACCCTTTCTGTTGGTGACGCGCGAAACATCAACATATAACTGGCCATGACTGAAAACTGGTTTCTTCAAGAATAAACCAACGTGGGATAAGGATTGACCCTAACTCTTTTTAATAGTCATTGCATAAGAGACCACGATAGAGAACTGCCGTCGTTGAAACTTAAAAGGTACTCTTGCATCCGAAGTTATCGTCATTCGAGGTATCAACATTTTATCCCAGCATGGTCGCCCATAAGTATCCTACATTCTAGGATATGATTGGAGAGTCTTGTTACAACCAAACGTGTCTCGTTGCACAATCCCATATGATCCATGTTCCGCAACAGTATAACAGGAGTTCCCACCTTCAAATGCAACTCATGATTTGGTGTACCAGAACATTTGAGAGAATTTAAGAACTCAGGAGTGTGGATTTCTGACAAGAAGTCAGAATTCAAATCGGATTTACAGGTACTGTTGGAGCTCAAATATACACGACCTTCTGTTAGATTCAACGACGACATGTATTGGTTGATAGACTCAACGATCTCCAACATAGTGAGCATCCCGTGCGATGCACATACGGACTTGTTTCTTGAAATATTTTTCTTAAAAAAAATTATATTTAAAATGTAATTATTTATATTTAAACAACTCATTATTTTAAATATAATTATTTATATTTAACATGTCTCATTATTGATTTTTATAATAAGCATTTTTCATAATTAATTATCATTCATATAAAACAAATAATTAATTACCATTCAAATAAAACAATTAATTAATTAACATAATTGTTTCCTATAAAAAATAAGCAATGCATATTAGACAATTAATGTGCACATCCCATCCAGGAACTGACTTTTGTATCAATCGAGAACTTCTCACACGTCACATCTCCTGGCCTATCATTCCCAAGTGCCACCCTTCGAGCTAAATATTCTCGTCCGATCTGCCATAGCCCAACAGCTCAGACCGACCACCAGAAGCCCGTGCAACCAGCCCGAGTCCAGCCAAAAATTATTGTATTCTGTTGGTATTTTCACAAGTGCGCAATTCACATCCAACAAAATTTCGCTCAACAATTCACGCACGTCTCATTCTTCATACGCAAAATCCAACCGTCGTTCGAAAAATTATCGCCAGCGCTCAAAGTATTCGATTATCTTCACCAGCAAAGAGTGCGACCATTCGTCGCCTTCAACATCCACTCTAGTCCGACCAGCATTGCACGCAAAACAATCGAGATATCTCACTCGTTCAGCCCGTCGTCTTGCCATGTTTGTTACCAACCGCCCGTCAGCAGCATCATTGAAACGTCCAAGCATCAACAACCTTCGTCCAGCAGTCAGGAACAACCAGCACCAACACCAACGACCTCATATCTTTAAGCTTCGTTGACCCTTCAGTATGGTCATCCTTCGGCCGTCGATTTCGAGCCAAAACTCGACCAATCAGACCATCATCAGCCGCCTGAGACTTTGTACAATTGTCCATACTTCACGATGCACGACAAAAAACACACAACCTTCAGCCATAACTTTCAGACATCAACGTCCGACGCCGCATCAATTTTGCCCCGACTTTCCGATGCACAACCAAAAATTGCCAGCCTTCAGCCGTCAACGTCCGACGCTGCATCTGTCCGATAATGTATGCCCGCTGACCTCTATCAGCCCTAGCCGTAACACGGCCCCTCGTACAAGCCATGGACGCAACCTAGCCAGCTGCGGACTACGGGTAGCCGACGATGAATATATATATTGAGTTTGAAGGGAGACAATGATAAAGGGAATAATGTGGAATAATGTTGAATTATTTTCAAAAGATAATGAAGAGTTTGTTACCAATAAAAATTCTATGGAGCCATCCGATGACTCTATAGCAAAACTGTTGTTCCCAATATAATTATATGTAAGTTAAGATAAGATGTAATGTATCCAAAAAAATCTGCATGTGATTGCTTTCTTTGAATGTTTAATTTAATTTTTTCAAAATATTTAGTCTGCTATTAAATTATAGTAGATTTATAAAAATAAATAGAAATAAGTATTGTTTGAAACGATAATTACGGATCAATTTATGGAATTGGGATATGTGATAGTTTTGCAGTTATCTTGCTAAAGAATGGATTGTGTAGAGATTTAAATAACGTGTCATTGTATTTTTTTGATATCTAATCATTTTTATTAACTTGTCTCCAGCATAAAAATTATGAAAATATTCAAATGCATATGTGATTTTGTAAGAAAATGTCTATTTTTTAATTTAATGACCGCATTAAAAATAAATTATGAAAATACTCAAACGCATATGTGATTTTGTGAGGAAAGATCTATTTTTTAATTTAATGACTACATTAAAAATAAATTTAAAGGAGCAAAATAATATAACTAATAATATTTGAACAAAATCAATTATCTCGAACTCTCTATATATACAAATATATGTAAAAAAACATTAATTATCTCAAATGTAACCACTGAACGATTTTTTAGGTATTTATAATGTTATGGTTATTGTCTAATAACTAATAATATTTGAAAATATATAAAAATATGCTAACTACTTTTAATTTTCACGAATTTAGTGGGTAATAAATTCTTAAATATAGCTAGAATCTAATGTAATTTTATCTATACAAAATATTAATGGCCCCAAATCAAGAAGATTTGTTTGCACTTATTGATACTCAATTGATTTATATTATATATTAATAAATATTGTCAATTTTGTCACATATCATCTTTTTCATTTCAAAAGGAAATTATTCTTCCAAAAATGGTGTTAGGAATATCTGCTGTCAAACTCAAAAGATTATTAGATTACTCATACTGAAATATAGAAAAAAAAATATTTTGAAAGGATGCCAATTAAACTAACGGACTTGTAGGGATTTAAATCAAAAGGATAAAGGAAAACATGTGTTACAAAGAGTAAAAATTGGTTAGATAATTATTGACTCGTTCAATTTTTTTAAAATTCGAAAAAAAGTGTTTAAGGCGGGATAAACGTGAATCAAATAAAAATATTTTAGATAAATGTTGACTCATTCAATTTGGAAAGAAATCTCATTCAAAATGAAAGGAATACCATTCAAAAACAGTTTCCGAAAAAATTCAAAGTTTCGAAAAACAGATTTAAGCGGAATCCGAAAAAATTTCAAACACAATATTAGGGGGAAAAACAGGTTTTAAGCGGGAAACGAAATGATTTTTTTCGGATTGTTCAAATAATTTTTCTTCTCCGTATTATATAATAATAGATTACATTATTATAGGACCTAAATCCTAACTTCTTTTCTATTTTTTGGTGGTTTATATTCTTTAATTGAAATAATATTTGACTTATTTGATTAAAACAACTTATTTTCTATAGGAAATAAATTTAAGTGAGATATCCCCAAAAAATTTGAGATTCTTAAGGTAACAAATTTGGAGATTTTTATGCCAAAATTTAATTCATTTCATAAATACGAATCTCATTTTTATAGGTAACAAATTTGGAGATTTTTATGGCAAAAATTGAAATTTTGAATTGAGATATCCCAACAATTATGGATTTTTTTTCCATTCAAATTAATGTTGCAAATCAAACAACAAATTCTTCCGAGAATAATGGATATTATACTAAATATTGATAAA